AGCCCCCCTCCCCCCGAGGCCCCCCCACGCACACGCTCTGACGGGGCTTCCGCGGCTCCTGAGCCTTGCGTCGCCCCCCTCGGCTCGAGCCCTGGGGACGCTCCCGTGGCAATGTTTGCAGAGCTTGCCGTACCGAGACAGCTGCCCGGTGCTCGCCGCCCCCTCTGCAAGCCCGTCCGTTTTCTGCTGATACCGTCCATAAAGTCCCTGCAGCCCTCTGGCAGCCCACCTCACGTAGGACCGTGTGTTCCCCACGAGTGCAGAATAACTTGCCACTTAGTTGTGCCGTTCCTTCGCTCCCATCACTTCTATAAGGTCACATTGCCAGCACTCTCAGAAAGACCGCAAGAATGTACCTAGATACTGCTACAGCCGTCCTACAGCCCGTCCCACAGCCCTTAGTGTCCAAAAAGTCTATTCCTTTTGTGTTTGTTTTTTCCTCCCCACAATCCTGAATAGTTTTAGAGATTCTTCTCTAAACTCAAAGACGTGCTTCGTAACTCTGCGTCATTACATCCCCCACGTGCCAATTTAAGCGACTGAGGATGAAAAGATGCCCTTTATTCCTCTTCCTTTCCTTTCCCTGTATCTTTGCCTGTAACCTGTTACGCATCCTGCACCCTTTTAGAGACCTCTGGGAACTCTGAGGTTCTTCTGCAAAACCCCCATATACCCCTTCCTCTGCAAAACTCCCTAACTTTAGTGGCGTAATTGGCTTGCTAAACTGGCAGAAACCGAGACAGGAGGAAGTGCTGCCTTGCATCCCCTGGCGAATGCCGCAGTAGTGCCCAGCCTGGCATGACTGTGATACCCTGCGGAAGGAAGTACCCGACTTGCTGACCAGCTCCTGTGCCCTGCGTGCCAGCGCAGGGCCTCGCTAATGCCTCCGTAACCTCCAAACTGTCTTCCCAGACTGTCTCAACACAAACATAACAGGCGCTAAAGTAGGTTTGCTGAAGTCCTCTTGTAGCCCCTGATAACCTCCATGAACGTCGTTTAACCCTCTAGCTTTCTATATAGCGTGTCCACATCCTGGGAATACTGTGATTAAGGGCTAATGTTTAAATTAGATGTGGTATTTAGCTAAAATAGCCTTTGTAGGACTATTTTGTATGGCAGCAAGCAATGTGAATGCTCATTCGAGTAACTTGTTGGATTTATAATCTCTGTTTGGTGGTTACGTAGGACAATATTCTAAATACTGTGCTTTTAAAATTAATGTATTTATTTTATTTCAGTTTAGTTACAAAACAGCATAATTTGAGAGATGTTCCACTGCATTTTATTAGTCATGCATCTGTCATAAAAAAATGAAGTCACTTGTATTCAACAGCTAAACAGTAAATTGTGCGTAGGAACTAAAACTGTCTGCAGGTACATTTGTAGAATTTTTCACGGGCTATGTGCACCGAATTGTCAAGTGCCCTGTTAATACTGTAAACATGTGCCTCCAATAAGATAAACTTGTAACACAGTTTAATTTTTTTAGGTATCTAAAGGAATTTAGGACAGAGCAGTGCCCCCTATTTTTGCAGCACAAGTGTGCCCAGCACAGACCATTTACCTGTTTTCATTGGCATTTCCTAAATCAGCGTCGTCGTAGACCTATACGAAGGCGTGATGGGACTTTTAACTACAGTCCAGATGTTTATTGTGCAAAATACGATGAGACTACAGGAATCTGCCCAGATGGAGATGAGTAAGTGATTTCTTTCAGTCTGAGGTTTTTACAGTGTTATCAATGACATTAAGGAAAGATGCTAATTTCTCCTTAGCCCAAACGATCAATAGAATCCTGCTGCAGTCTGTCTGAAAACAGATTCCTAGAAGAGATTTGTCAATTTTTGGCACATAAACTTTTACGTATCAGCATGTGTTCTTTAGGCTATCATGGAGTTAAGAGCTATGATTTTGCATTGTGACTGTCTTCAAAGCGTAACATTAAGAAACTGGTTTTCTGCTGGGGATTGTTCCTGCACCTTTTTTGTTTCTTTTTTTTTTTTTTCCCAGTCATGTTTCTTTTTTCTCCTGACTACTTTGAAATCCACCAGTAGGTACAAGCCCTACTGGATAGAGGTGTCTTCCAGATTTTAAATGTATGTAAGCGTTGTGAAGACTGACAGGTAACAGGAGAATTACTGATTTGTGATGTTCCAGCAAGACAGAGCAAGAGAAGGAGTCCGCTGTTAGCTGTCTGGCTAGCCTGTTCGTCCATGCATTTCCATGGGCGCGTATCTCTTCGAGATAAAGGCTACGGAGGGTCGTCAGTGACCTTGGGGAGGGGTAGAAGCTTTGTGGAGGTGAGAATGAGCAAATGGTACAGTATGGCAGGCAGGCACCTGCACAGGAGCTGGATATATTGTGGCCATATGTCAGAGGAGCTGCCTTCATCTGTAGTGATGGAAGCATGGAAGGACTCCTGACAAAAAAAAAAAAAATAAAATGCAGGAAACAGCCAGGAAATATGTGGTTATGCTGGTCACCTGTTTTAAAAATTGAAGATTAATTATTTTGGTTGCTGTAGTGTATAGCAGTGCTTGTCACGGATCAGGTATCTTTTATGTTATAGGCTGTTGTCACAGAAGAAAAAGGTGGATTTTCCCAGAGGCTTGACAAACTAAATGGCAGAGAGAATCACAGAGAGGGTAGACAACAAAAAAGCACTCAGCAGCCTGACAATGTTGAGTGCCATGCCTAAGTAATATCAATGTCAAAAAATGTGTCTGAGGGGTGATTTACAAGAGAAGAAGGAATTACCCTTTCGGGTGTTTGTAAAGCACTCCTACTAATCCTGGGGCAGCATGGGCAGTCCTTTGAAAATCAAGAAACAAGGATGACGGATGCTCGTGTCGTGGATTGGTTGGGGACAAAACCTGACCTTTCATTACTGAGGGACAGATGCTGATTCCAAAGGAGGAAAAAGGAAGCCATTTTTACAAGGGTATTAGCTGGGCAAGATTGAACCGTTAGAAGCAAAGAGGAGATGTTTCAGTGACTGAGACATGAAATGGAAACCTTTTTGCTGCAGTTGATTGGAAAGTTTGTTCGTACCAGTGCTGAAGGGTACTCCCTGGTTAGGAGCCCACGTGACAAACAGGGTGATGGTTCTGTCTGGCAAAACGGAAGTGCAGAGGACTTGCCAACAATAAGACCAGCAGTGAGACTGATGCCTCTGTTTCAGAATGTTGTGCGTACAGTTTGATTTAAACAGAGAGGTTTAGGAGTTCCCAGCAAAGAGGTGGTGGCTTTCAAGGTTGTGTTTTGCAGTGCAGTTGCCCAGATGTGGAAGGATAAGAGCAGGGACCAAGGCTGGAGTCCTGTGAGACCCCTCACCAGAGGCATAAGAGAATGTTGGAGTTGGAAGGCATACTGCAGGAGGGATTGCAAGAAAAATGTGAATGTAGCTGAGTTCCCCTAAGCAAAGGAGAAGAATGTTTCAAGCAGAGGAAAAATGAGGAAAGCAGGCAGTAAATTAGGAAAATGAAGATTGATGAGAGTAGAGAAAATAGAGTCTGCTTTCTTTGACTCAGTGATAAGGTGAGGTTATTGGAGACATTTGTGAGAGAAGTTTCAGCTGAACTGTGGAGGCTTATTTTAGATCTGATCCTGAGAACTGGTGGCTGGAAATGGCAGATATTGTAAACTGACGGTTGAAGTTAAGGCACACAGGGTGGGCAAGTAGTTGGGAAGGGCAGGAGAAGTTGAAGGTGACTTTCTTAAAGATATAAGACGCCAGAGCACGTCTGTAGTGGAAAAAAATGGAGGAAACACCAACATTTCTGAGGTCATGCTTAAAGCATGGCCGCATCCCTGTTTTAGAACTCAGCAAAAGAATATTTTTTTGACCTTGTGTTGTCTTCTGCCCAAAATTTAGCCTTGTATTTGGAGCAACTTCAAACTCTTCCAGTAACAGTAGTGCCAGGACACCGTCATTCTAAGCTATGTGACAACATCCTGGCGCATTTTTGGCTTTTATCTGTGTCTCTGTTTCTCTGTTCTCATCTGAACACATGGGTAGGTTAACGCAGTGCAGGTGGGTAGAGAACCATCAAGAAGGGCAGAGCAAGGACCCCAGAACGGTTCTTGGGAAGGTACTTTCAAGAGAGTTAAAACAGAAATTGTTGGTTTCACCCAGGCCCGACAGTGATTTTTTTTTCCGAAGTTCAGCTTGGAATGAAAGGAAGCCCAAAATTCTAAAGCTGTTTAGAAAAGGACTTTCCTAAGGGTAGCAGACTAAACAACCTGTCCTAAGGGCGGGCCTGTGGGAGAGGCTGGACTGCTCGCAGCATCAGGGGCATGCATTCTGAGCGGTGAATACTGTTCCCCCGGTTTCACAAGTGAGGATAGAAGTGATACTGCTTTTTAATCTGATGTGGTTTTCAACCATTGTAGCCAATTGATGTCAGATTCTGAAAGAGAAGATTATTTTGGGTATGTTAGTATATGTAATGTAAGACTGCTCTAAGAGTGAATGAATTACAGGAGCCTACTACAGGGGAGCACTCATGTAGTCACAAGAAAAAATGTCAGTGTCTCAAGGTTGAAGAGAAGCAGAGCTAATGCAGTTGTTCTCATATGCTTAAGAACAGCCAGCATTGCCGTTTAAACTGTGACTGGTTTATTCTTAAGGGATATCTTTGGAACATTTATGATGTGAATTAAAAAGAACGTGAAAAGGAAACACACATTTCGGTAATCAGTCAGCCTTTTCAGTGTTTGCGAACATATGCTCTCTTTCATGGTGTGTGCATCTACTTTGAATAATGCAATGACAGTTTTACTTTGCAAGATCCAGATGCAGAAAGCAAAGCTGATTTCAATAGTTAAATGTTGTGTGTAGGCTCCAGTAGGACTTAAAAATACAGAGTAATGTTCTTTACTGATTCGTGATTACTAAGTTAGGATTCAGAACAATTATTTTAAGCTGGGAGATGGCTGTAGGAATACGGGCTATGAAGTAGATTTGTTATCCTAAGTAGTAAGTCATGTCTGAACAATCCTAGTACCAACCTATGGTACGTAAGAACAGGTTTATCCGTTTGCAGCCGTGTAATCTGATGATAATTAAAATCAGCCATTTTAAATAAAAATACTAGTCTCGTTTAAAGCTATGTATTATAATGGGTTATGCTCCATTTAAATATTTTGTTAATAAGTGAAGGTAAGATATAACATCCCTGTAGTTCATTAAAGGTTGAGTAGAACTTCCATTCTGTGCATGTTTCAGTGCATTGGCTTAGTTTGATGCTACGTGTGAGTAAGTGCTATGTACCATCCAAAAGCTGCTTTTGTCAGGGGTTTTTGCCCTTCTGACTAATGGTCCTGTGGCGAACTGCAGCTGATCAAGGTGTCTGTGGTCACTAGCATATGTATTAGTGTGATGTTGTATCAATAACACGTTTTCATGTAGAACTCACACAAACAAGATTGATGCCATTGTTTTTGCTCTTTGAGGTTTGCATGCTGTTCAGGCCCTGAGTCTTGTTTGGAGCTGGCTTTTATCCAGTGCTTCAGAAGCCTTAGACCAAATTCGGATACCAGACTGCCCCAGTCATGCTGGATAGCCTCGCTGAAGCGTGCTGTTTGTTTCTGGAGGACTTCTCCTGTTATGGGACTCTTCAGGCAGCAAAATGTGCAGTAGGAAAGCTGTGTTTTCAATAAAATTCAGGTTGCATTAGCAATAAACAGTTCCAGTGAAATTCAGATGGCATAAGTATTGAGTCTTAGGGCAAACAAACCTAGGTTTAATTTAGCAGAAGTAAGAGTCTTGTGACACAGTTTATATTTCTTTCCCAGCTAGTTTTTGGAATCCATGTTGTCTTTTTGTGGGAAAAGATGTGACCTGAGTATTTCTCCCTCTCTCATATCACATGCAGCAAGTTGTGCCTAGCTTGTCTGCCAAGCTGTGTCTGTATTTCATTGCATTATTTTATTTTTTTACAAAAAGCAATTTAAAAACAATGGAAGGCTTTAACATTCGGGGGGGGGACACCTCCACTGATGTGGTGATTGCGCTAGGGAAAAACTGCAGATATTTAAGCAAAAATCTTTGCCCTCTGGTAAGGACTTACAGACAAGCAATGAGATGTAAACGCCTGTACATTTACATGGATGGTAAAACGTTTCATTCTTGTTTCCAACAGGAGCAAACAAACTTAAGTAGGTGAAGATGGAGCCATGAACATTATGCATAAGAATATGACAGAGTATTCCCACCTTTGTGAGGTGTGCACATATGAGTGAAAGATTAGAGTTTGTAATGAACAGTCTGCTGGGAAAATGGGAACATTTGATCCCTGCAAAGATTCTGCTGGTGGGGGGACAGTTAGCAGTAACAACAATACAGTCTCAGATTTCCTTTTGTTTAGAGTTCTGTACAGGACCGGTGCTGGCAGAAGCATCTGATTGACTTGTGTGGGCTTTCTCCTTTTTCCCTAATAGTAGCCGTGCCAGCAGAACAGGAGGGCTGCGTCAGCGCCGTTCACACATCGCAGGGATTTCTCACAAAGTTCAGCTGAGGCACTGTAACGGGTCCAGCAAATACTGCATCCCGCTTGTCTTTCCATGTAGAGGCAAGAAGTGTGAAAGGACAACTTCCAGATCCCAAGTGTAGACTGTGCTCCATCTCACACTGACAAAATGAGATAAAGCACTGAATTTGGTATACCAGTCTTCCCACTAATTAGTTCTGCTGGGATTTAAAGAGATAGTTACAGATCGGTAGCTGCAGCCCATTTATCTTGTTTAACAGAATCCTGGGTTTAAATTCCTGCAAGGAAGCAATCTGATTCTCAGAAGTCATAAACAGTATCGAATCCTGGAAGTTAGCACAAGCTGCAGGTGTTCAGCACAGCAGGATGAATATGTGATTTTCATGTAAATATATAAATGCCAGACCTGTACGTGTTTGCAAACAATTGCATTTGTTTCATTTCTAAATAGTCTTTCTAGAATAAAGCTTAAGCCAGCGTAAATTCTCATGAGTGTCAAAGTCTACTTAGTGCTTCACTATTCTCCTTCCATTCAAAGTAAAATATTTCTGTGAGACTTTTCATTTGTGTTCTGTATGATGCTGGAAGCTTTTTGGTGCAGTTCCTTTTTACTTTGGGATGGGGGAAAGTGGGATTGGGAGATGAGTATTTTTTCAAAACCAGCAGAGACCAAAATCAATTGCACTGAAATAAACTGGGAGAGAACAGACATCCCTCTGTATATATTTTTGTGGGGTTTTTTGAATTAGTTTCCTATTAGTAGCTGGGATTACAGGCCACACACGATGCTAGCCATTTTAAAGTACGGACCATAACTCACACAGTTATATCTGAGAAATGGTTAGTACATGTACAAAGATGTATGGCTGATGTAAAAATTGTTCTCTTCCTTTTAATAGGAGAGTCATTTTAGATTTCCTGCAATTGTTCAATAAGTTCCACATCTATAAAGAGCAGTCAGGGAAAAAATAATCACCGTGCTTCAAGTACCCCTTGATTTTAGACGACGATAACATTAAAGAAAAAATAATCTTGTACCTCTTAGTGCAGAAATTATTTGAGTTTGTATCAGTATGGAAGATGCCATTCCTTAGCTCAGATGATGATGTTGCTTACAGGGGTGCTTACTGTATTTATTAATAATATCCGTGTGAGTCAGCCTGCTATAAATTGTTATAACTTTAGCAGAGACTAAGAAGTAGATGAATGTTTTTCATTCTGAAGCTGATCTGTGACGGTGGTTTGTTTGGGAAAGTTTTTGCTTGAAGGATCCTGCAAAGTCACTTGTTATAAGTTAATAAGAGATACAGCATAATTCAGAATTAAATTGTTAAAAACAAGATTTCAAAGCAGCGGTCTAACTTTCCTCTCTCTGTTATGTAGTTGCCCTTACCTGCATCGAACAACAGGGGATACAGAAAGGAAGTATCATCTCAGATATTACAAGACGGGAACATGCATTCATGAGACAGATGCCCGGGGTCACTGTGTGAAGAATGGAATTCACTGTGCCTTTGCTCATGGCCCACATGACCTTAGACCACCAGTATATGACATAAGGTAGTCCTGTTTCAAATGCTTTGGCCTAATTAGCAGGAAATACCACATGTTTGTTATCACCATGTACCAGAAAACGCAGTCTGCTTTGCATGAAAAATATACTTGCTTCTGTAACTGTAAACGTAAGACTACCATCACCGTGCATCATGATAGCAGATGGACACGCACAGGGAAATACTAGGTTTTGTAACTTGCAATTTCAGTAGCCAGATAAGTAATTCTCATGACCGATGAAAGACCAGATACTCTGGCTTTTGTCATTTATGCCTGTCAATTTGCATGTGGTTTTTACATTGGCAAATTTATGATTTTGTTAAGCTGTCTTTCAGGTTCTCAGCTTGTATGTTTGACCTTTTGCCTACTGACGCTGCTTTTTTAAAATTATCTCTTATTTTTTCATGTATAAGATATCAGTATTGTTTTCTGCCTCTCTAATGTATAATCAAGGTATTGTTGAAAGAAGGTGCTTTGTGAATCAGCGTAGTGGTGGGTATGAGGTTTAGCTGTGGCCAAAGCTGGGACATAAGCATGTTGTTGGGAGGTCTTACAAATGGGTGGACGGGGACCTCTTGCTACAGAAAGCGGTCTGTACATACTCAGTAGGAAAGGATACCAATTCCTAGAGAGCTTTGAAGCCTTGGATGGTCACAAGTACCCCTTACGGGACACTGGAAGAGCATTCTGGGGAAGTATCACTATACGCTTGCCCTATTATTGTGCTGTTCCCTAGGCGTCGGCTATCGGCCTCTGTTGGGAGATAGGATTCCAAGGTTGGATGAACCTTTGCTCTGAGCTGGTGGCTGCTCTCTTACATTCTTACCTTTGTTATCCCTTTGTTATTCCCAACCATCTTTTGGGAGATGATAGCTCTCCCTTCACAGTCATTTTAGTAAAGTTAGTGCCTTTTCAGTAATTTCATAATAATTTACATTCATATTCTGCTGCAGAATTCGCTGCTGCGTTGTCTGGTCCCATACCGTTCAGTTACATATAGCTTTTCTTCCCAGAAGACTTTCTGCAATTAGTTAGCTGATGCTTCTTCTGCAAGACATCTGTCCATTTTCTTTTTCTCCCTTTTACCTTTCCACATTTAGCATACGCAGCATGGTGCCACGTCAGTCTAAATACAAAGTGCTTAGGATCTTTGTCATCTTTTTTATTGTATTAGAATGAGGAACCAACACATAGCAAGACTGAAGTCAAGCTCCATTCTCTAGGTGCCTTTCAGTGTGTTAGATGATTGACTGTTGGTGATCGGCTACCTACAGAGCATCAGGAGCTGAAGACATTTGTGGTAGGAGTCTATGTTTAACGGCTTGAACGTACAAGTAGGCTGTCTCAGAATTCTTTGGTGTTTGTGAAAAACAGTCATGTGCCATTGCATCTGATTTCAGGCATCCAGCATTCATAAGGAAGTCCAAGCAATCAGGTCTTATTTTTTCTTTGGTGGTCTTTTTGCTTTGTGAGGGACACAGATATGAGGATTTCTTCATTTTAAGTAAAGAGCAAAGAAGTAACAGTAGAATCACTGGTGCAGACGTTAACTTTATTCCCCTTAATAGCCTTGTTCTTCTACATATCCACATCAAAGACAAAGCACTCTCTAGGAGCTGTTTTCCTTCTCATTGCCTGCACCTTTTCTGAATCTGTAAAAGAAATATTTTGACTGTTTGAAAGGTTCTAGACTCGGCTTTGGGTCTGTCTTGTCTTCCTTTCCCTTTGAGATTATCTTTCTTGGAGGATACTTGGCGTTGGCGACGTTCTTGAAATGGTAGGTAAATAGTATCATAACCAGTTACGTTATAAACCACCGCACCTTTCAGAGATTCCAGGTAGGAGTATTTTGGCATAGAAGATGCATGCTTCAATATTTGCGTCTAGAGAAAGCAGTGCCGATTGAAGGTAGAGGCCTTTCATTTTCATAGAGTACTGTAGACCCACCTGTCATGTTTGATTCCTCATCTTGTTTCTCCATTGCTTCAAAGTCTGCCTAATCTAATTGTGCTATAGTATCTTTTTTATTTTTTAATCTTCTGTACTGATTTCCCATTGTTGAATCTCCACACAGCTTAATTTTACTAAAGTGGTGTAATAAAACTCTCAGATTTTGGTAGAGGTTTCATACTACTTATACAATACCTTTTAGTTCAGTAGCAGTAATTCTCCCTCATAGAGGAGGAGTTCTGTGTTTCTGATCACCCCTGCTGCCCTTTCTATATCTTTCTTAATTGTACTATGTCCTATGTGGCAGTGGAATATCAGAAATTTATAGCATATTCAAAACTCAGCAATTTGTAGCATATTCAAAACTCAGCACACCAGCATGCAGAGGGTACAGATGGACATGGCTGGTGCAAACGTTGCCTGTGTACATAGCAGCAGCGTTCCTTCATGTGTTCTCTTTGATTTGTATGACATGGTTATTCCTTACAATTGTTTGCCAGCTTCAGCACAAGTAATGGTTTGAAATACAGTCAATTTACTTCTTTTTTACAATTTAGGCTTGTTAAGAGCTGGATTAAATGACAGAATTTTGATAGACCTGGACAGGATTTTACTTGCGACAGATAGGGGTACTGTGGCTATACAGTTTAGCAGTGTTATTTTCTTTTCCCCATTCCAGAGAACTTCAGGCACAGGAAACCTTACAGAATGGGCAGCTAGGATGCGGTGAAGGCATTCCAGATCTGCAGCCAGGAATTTTAGCAAGCCAGGCAATGATTGAGAAGATCCTTAGTGAAGATCCAAGATGGCAGGGTATTGTTACCCCGTCTCCTTTCTCTGTTTCTTTATTGGTGCTTGATCCAATTTGTTGATCCTGGGTCTTCATCTGGGAGAAGTTCAAAAGCCTTTTTTAGCAGAGTAAAGAATTGGTTTATTTAAGTAATACGGATATTTGTGAACAAGTTGCACTGTCTGTCACGTTTATATTCAGATTGCATTTTGGAAATGTTTTGTTTTGAAAACATTTAGTAGGTCTTTTTTTGTTTACTTGATACAAGCGTTGCTAATCTGTGTCAATTGAATAAATGTTCTTAAAAGTCAGTAAGAGCTGTGTTGTGTGCTAAGTAACGAGTGGAGCCTTCATTTTTTGAGTCATTCATAGACAAGTTAATGGAGCGTTGTTCTTTGCTGAGCTGGACTAACAGGAATGAAGTAGAATATCAAACAGAAGATTGAAGCGGCATATTTAAATACCTGTATGTCTTGAAAGCGTTATATTGGGTCTCTTAAAGTAAATCCAGTTGGCCTAGTTTTCTTAAGGCTTTCAAATTTGGTTCTAGTGTTCTTGGTTTAGACTTGTGGCCAAAGATGTTGGTATCAATCGGATGTTGTTAGATCTTTGCCCAGATTTTGCTTTAGAAAAGACTGCTGGGTGCCATTACTTCCACAAAAGTCATGTGAGGAGAGTAACGCAGGAAAAGGTCACGGGAAGGTGCTGTCTCTGAGGAATTCAGGGGGAGATAGTTGTATGACACTTGTCTCCTCTGTATTTTTTAGACCTACTATAGGGTGATTTCCAACCATTTAAGTACTAATAATGTGTAGAGCTTAATTGTCAGCTCTAGATAAAGAAATATTGGGTGTTTGACATAAAAAGACAGCAAAATTGACTAACTACAAGCCCTTTTTTTGCATTTCTTGCATTGTGACAGGTCTGTGTTAGGTAATGTTGTATGGCTTCTGTCAATCCCTGTAAATATGGTGAGACCGCACATGGTTTCTGGGGATTGAAAGTCATCCAACTAGTGACTTCAGCCTTATTTTCCTAAGTCTTTAATGAAACTGTTGAAAAGGACGGAACAAAGAGTACTTTCCATGCGATATTCTGATTAACAGTCTTTGCTATTTGACAGTACATCATTAATGACTCTGTGAGAACGTTTCCTCAGCTAGTTTTCCACAAATCCTGCAGGCGTCTTGCAGTATTGTGAAGTTAGTTTTTGAGAACATCTCAGGCTCAAAAGTTTGCTGAAGTCAAGATGACATTGACTGCTTCTGTTTTACCTACATCCTTTTTCCCGCTGTAGGAAGAAGTTAGATTTGTTTACTCCTCACAAGCCCATGCTTGCTGTTAGCTAAATTGTACCTTCTAATTTATATTCTTGCTCCATTGTATTTCTGAATTTTTCTGTTTCTAGACAGAACCTTGTTTGTCGTCATCTAGTTCCTCCTCCCTGGAACCAAAGATGTAGAGACAGAGGCAAAGGTGGAGAAGAGGCTCTAGAATTTGTCCAGGAAGATTTTACTGGACAAGCCTTAACATGCCTTAACGGAAAAGCAGTTTTGATGAAATAAGGACTGTCAACAATAAACTTAAGAGAAATCCAGATGTAAAATTGTATAAGTTTTTAGTGTTTGTCTTACCAAAATTAGTAATGTATTTTCTGGTATTAATGTTCAAAATGTTAAATATATAATAATGAGAATTTCTGGATAGTTTGTCTACCAATAGATTGCTAGTGCTTTAGTTATGTACTTTATTATAATATTGCTGTTGAATATAAAAGCAATGAAGATTGCTTTGCATGTAAATGTGTTAGACTTTTATTTTAAAAAATGCAGGAGTCAGTCTAAGTCTTATAAATAAGAATGGAGGGCTCTATGAATCATAATTCTTTTTAGAAAAAGCAGTGTGATACCTAAGCTCACTAAGACTCTGAATGCAAAAATTAGTTGTTTATTTCTCTTAACTGTTGACTTGTTTACAGACACAAATTTTGTATTAGCTGGCTACAAGACAGAACAATGTACCAAGCCACCCAGACTCTGCCGCCAGGGTTATGCATGTCCACACTATCACAATAGTCGAGATAGAAGACGAAATCCAAGAAAATTCAAATACAGGTACATAAATGCATATTAAGAATAGACTTTTCAGTCAGTCAGACAGTTGTTAATGGACTGACCTGTTTGGGTTCTTATATAATGCAATTGGATATTCCTAATGGAATAAAACCACATCTTTCCCAATAGCCTTGCTAATTTTTTGGGGGGGAAGAAAAGCGTCTGTTCGGTATGATCAGACAGTTCTGAAGACAAAAGCTATGAAGCTGTAATGGAAATATCCTTTGTTGTGAAGAATGAAAACAATTTCAACAATTATTAGCAAAAATTGGAACCACTAGGTCAAACCTTCTTTGTTACGAAAAGATCATTTATAATTTCTGTCTTTTTTTCTGATTTTGGTCTATAATTTTCCATTTCTGAGCAATATTTTTAGGACCAAAATCTAATGCATTGCACCTCTTACTTTTCATCATTACATCATTCATCACGGCATCATTTTACATCATTCTCATGCGCTGTGGTTTCTTCATTGGTTTTGGTGGTTTTTTCATGCAGTGGTACAAGGTTCAGAATTGCTGGGCTTTGCGTGAGTCTCGGGACTGTGAGTAAATGTCATTAGACAGAGGATAGATAGAATCTGCTGGCTCATCTTTCTGTCAAAGAATTTCCAAAAAGGCAGAGTCTCTCAGAATTTGTGACTTTTTAAGTCCCAGAATGTAAGATTCTGAGATGTAGTGGGACATTGAGAATTCTGCTGAGGAGGAGACACAAACGTGCTCTGGACATCTCTTTTTTTTTTTTTTTTTTTTTTTTCTAGGTCCACTCCTTGCCCCAGTGTAAAACATGCAGATGAATGGGGTGAACCTTCAAGGTGTGAAAGTGGGGATAGCTGTCAATATTGTCATTCTCGTACAGAGCAGCAGTTTCATCCTGAGGTGAGAACTATGTTTCTACTTATTTTCAGTGATTTCAAACTTATTGTGGATTAGGTTATTGATTAAAGATATTATTTATGAAAAAGCTTGTCAGTCATTGAGGGTATTTGCTTAAGCAAACCAAAATTTGCTAAGAAATAGTTATTTGTACTGCTGTGTTTTTCGCTGATAGGCATTTTTATTGTACTGCTAATGAAAAATTAATTAATATTCTCTGGATTTGGGCGTAAATAAATGTGTTCTCTTTTTTACCTAACTTCTTGGGTTGGTCACAAAGTCATAGTAGTAATTGCTACTCAGTAACTTGGGACAAATTTCTATTTTATGTATAGTTAAAAAAGCTCTATTGCAAATAACGAAGAGAAACTGAATAGGTCAGGAGGAAGTGGAAAGAGCTGAAAAGTCTCCTAGTGGCTGAAGTAAGACACTTCAGAAGAACAAGGTGATTTTAGTTTCGGCTGTAGGCAAAGTCATTGTAACTTTGTTGGGTGCTTGCATGTAACAGTGAAATGGGAGGGAAGAGAGCAGTGCCATGCCATCTGCTGAGATTTGATTCTTAGCAATGCTATGAAAATATTAAATGTGCCAGTTAATGGAAACAAACACGATACCCAAAAGACATGTTATGCTAGAAGCTGCCTGAACCACACTGGATACCCATTTTCATTTTGGTACCTTCGAATGGACATGAAGAATTCCCAGCAGGATGTAATTTCTTGCATTAGAAAGTTCAGTACTTAGTAAGGTATAAGCAAAGACCATTCAAGCAATTACTAATTTCTCTTTCAATTATGAAGATTATGGAAGGCGTCTCAAGACCATACTGGGAAAGGAATTCTAAGAATACTGACTCCAGGATTGTTGCAAGCTTCCTATCATACATTCTCAATCATAAGTTGACCAGCTACATCTTTATACCAAATAGGTGTCAGCTATCTCTACTCTAGAGATGGTGCTCCAGAATTTCACTGTCCTGATTACCAGAGATTTTACAGCCCAGCTTTATTTCAGACCATCTAATTTCTTCTGCATCATATCCCAGCCCTTTTCTGTAGTAAAGGTGTTTTCCTGTTTAGTACTGCTACCACACTTTTATTTATGACAAAGCTATGAATGAGAGTGCTAAAAGAAGTCACAAGGCTGAGCCTTGAGTTCTGCTACTAATTCTGTCTGCTGCCTTCCTCTTTCATACCATTCCATTGTCATCTCTCCGTTAGTCAATTTAACAGCAGATACGTAACACTGGAAAGAGTTGTGTTCCTCATTATCATAATTAGCAACTCTTACCACATCCTTTATTGAAGTCCTTACTAGAATGACCCCATTTCCATTTTAGAGAAGGACCTTTGATTTAACAAAGTTACATGGTGAGTCTACCATGATGTGCCTTTGCCAAATGTGCTTTTAATTTTGTCCCGTTTCTTTCTGTCTTTAACCTAAATGGTGACAGGCAGAATAATTAGTGGACATGCAGTGGCCTGAATCAGCTACTTTTGCTCTTCTCAAACAAGTGTGAGCTATACTTAATGTACCTCAGTTACATATGCTACTTCTGACATGCCAGCTTTACTAAAAGTACTTGCTAACTGCATCTGTCTTACTTGCCAGTTTTTAAAAAATTCTGACGTAACTATTACCTAATTCGTTTCCTGTTCCTGAACTGATGGTGATTTGCTTCCACACCAGTTATAGTCACCTCAGTCTTTGTCTGCTTGTTTCCATTAGCTGTGCTGCCTTTGTTGTGGTGTTGAACATAATTCCTCCTGATAATCAGGGCAGTTCTGTGGGGATAGTGTTGTCACCTCACCTAATTTTAGGTCTGGTATTTAATTTCACAGAAACTAGCAGCGTGCCTGCACTGAAAGTGGAGTTCTCATTCAACATCATACCCTGTGAGCCTTTCTCTGCTTTGCTCCAGCGCTGACTTTCATCCAATTGAGTGGTTAGAATGGAAATTCCATACAGCTTTTCCACCTCTGACTTGAGGGTTCAAAGCACTCATTTTATTTGCTTCATAATGAAATTCAGTCTATTTAATGGTGGCAATCAATTGCTTTCATTCCTCAGTCTACTTACTTGATGTCAGTAACGTTAGTTCAGCCTTATGTTTTTATGTCCTTTAAGTTGAATTAATCCTCACTTTATCCAACATTATCTTCTCTTATTGGATGTTTTCATGTACTCATTCTTTACCAAACTCAAATAAAGAATATTGCCATTGCCTCTTGGCTCAGTGACTATTTTTGGAAGAAACCTCTTGGTTATCACATTAAGGAATAGCTTGGTTCTACTGTTAATAGACAGCAGCTGTGTTCTTGTCTATAGCTGCAAAATTAGTCTTCTGTAATGATGTAGTTCTGCTGTCTGTCTTGTAATATGTGTAGATCATGTGGCCACCTCCAGAATCAGTCTCTGAGGTGCAAGCTCTGCCCCAGTAGTATTTTGATATTATCTATATTATCACTTCTTGTATCTGTAGCATGTTCCAGAAGGCACTCCATGCCATCTGGGTAGCTCATAGGATCAGGAGGGCGACTTTTTGCCTCAGATCTCAAACTAAGACTGCACTTCCAATTACATCTTTTATTGAAGCTATTTGGAAGTCAGCTCTTCTCATTTTTTTTCTGCTGCATCATTAGCATCCTGTATATAGCATTGGGGTTTTATATTTAACCAATAAACAGAGAAGAGGAAAGAAATGAGGTGGGCCCAGCTTAATTTCCTAGTGCGGGTGTGGTAGCCACAAATTACTCCTTCAGTTTTTGCAATGTGATAGCTCCCAGTGAAATTGGTGGCAAGATCTGCTCTTTTTTTTGTTAAGTGTCTCATTTGGGTGAATACTTGTCTACAGCATGGATGTTTTGTTGCTTTTTCAGTGTTCAAGGAAAAATAAATTATTTGTAGAGTGATAAGCATCAGCAATAATTCTGTGATTTAACATTTTACTCTAGTTTCTTGGATGATCTTTGGGTTATGCATAAACTAGTAGTGAATACAGCAACTAAATTCAATTCAAAATCACTTATGAGAGGGAAATTTATCTAAGATGCTTAAACCGGCTCTGAAATAAAGAGCTTACCAAACTAGTTGTTGAGGGTATTTTAATGGATAGTTTCATTTTTCATGTTTGCTCTAAGGTGGGAGTCAAAGGTAAACAATTTTTTACACAGCATATGCAAAAGTGCCAGAGAAGTGGCATTCTGAGCTAAGAGTTAGGACTTACCGAGCCATGAATCACTCAACTGACACTGAAAGCTGAAGACCACAGTATCGAGGCCTGGGGAACCAAAAAGATCCCTCTGCTATTTGCCACAGACTTGCAGATCACCAGAATTAATTCTCTAAAGAATCTGTGTGCTTTTAAATAGGTTCTTAAAATTGTTCTACTATGACAGCATGTCAGCCCCTCCTCACAGCCTTGTGATCATCAAGATAGTCAAGATCTGGTAGAGCAATAAACCGAACCTGGATCTTACCAGCAACTTCGATAATCATTCCTGTCATGAACAGTCACTATTACTTCAGTTCTCATGCACCCCAGTCAGGTTAGAGAAGACATTTGAATGTTAGGATAATTTGAGTATTAGAGGTATCCTAACAAAGGGACTGTGTGGAAAAAACATTGGTTTTATTTTTCAGCTGTGTAAGCTGCTCTACTACATACATTATTTCTCCTGCAAGACTTCTTAAAAGTAGTGTAAATTACTTTGGACATTTTGTTCCCGATGTTTGACTTGTTTCTGTACATGGAAAACCAAAGCAGTTTAAACGCTGCTTTTCTAAATTTTTATTGTTACTTCCTATTTATTATTATGCAGAAGAGGGTTAAGATGCTCTTGTCTCAGGTTTGCTTTTCTTCAAATTCTGCTCTTCTATTGATTTTTAAAAATGAACATAAGAACTTAATTATCTGAGAAAACTGTGCAATACCTGTTGTTAGAAAATATTCAGAATTTTTCATTTAAAGGTTTTAAAATTTTCTATTTTGTCGTTACGTAGCACATGTTTAGGATAACCACCCTTCTGTTTTGTTTAGATATATAAATCTACAAAGTGCAATGACATGCGCCAAACAGGTTACTGCCCACGTGGTCCATTTTGTGCGTTTGCACATGTTGAAAGTAAGTAAGAGCTGTTATTTTGTGTCAGTGTTCATAAAAGTGAACTGTCATTTCCAAGCATCAGTAACAGAAGTGACTTAACATTGTTAATTTTAGTGCATAAATGGCATTTGGTGTCACTTGATTTTAGAAATTCATTCCGTGTTTTCCAATACCGCACATTGCTATGGGAGCTTGCTGCATTTGCATTGAATTTGCATCAACAGTAAAACAGCTTTTCTTTACAAGTGCAGCTTGTCCCTGTAACTTTTTGAGCTTGATTTGGCAATTTTATACACACACACTTTGACTTTTTTATATTATTTGTTCTGTTGAAACCTATAGTAACTTTCTCAGGTGAAAGTTAAACATCCTTGCACGTATTTGCAGAACTAGGCCCTTAGCTAAACTGAAAAAGAACACAGGCTAAATTATGTCAACCGTCCTCTTTCCCCCATCCCCCACCTACATCTTCGTTGCACACAAACTGTTACGTACAGAGAAAGGCAAGAGGGACCATTTTTTCCGAGAGAGCACTCAGTTCTTTGGTATGCATCTACATGGATTAATTCTGGGTATGTATCATCAGATTCTTTTTAATCGTAGTATCAACATGGTTACCCCTGCACTCTTCCTGCACTCCAGAACGTGCAGTGGGTGGGTGCTGCAACAGCTATTCATGCCTTGTTCTCAGCTGTGATGCAAGGCAGAACCTGAAGCATTTCTATGTAACTGGTTTCTTATAGGTGACAAATCTTTTCTTTTTTGATTATGTAGTTTTTGCTTGATTATGTAATCAGTAAAACCTCATATTTACTCTTCAAAAAGGAAAAAAAAAAAGGTCTGGTCCTATCTTACTTTTTGCCTTCTGCTTCTGGAGCTGCAAAGAGGGATGAGAGACCCTGCCAATTTTGGAAAGCTCAAGATTTCTGCAATTCATAGTATTTATCTTGTGATTCTCTGATGATAAGTAATGGCAGTCTCCTCTCTCTTATCTAATCTGTCTAGGCACATGTGATGTTCTATACAACCATCTGTTGTATTGCTTGCTTATCTAAAAGACTTGCAGTGAGTAGAGTCATTCTTGCTGCCACAGCTCTTGTTCCTGAGAACCTGTGGTATGGTCAGCTTGTCTTGTAACTTCTGTGGGATGATCCATTTTACTTTTCTGTGCTTTGTTACTCAAAGAAGAGGAAGGATGAATAACTTCCTGTATTTATCTAAAGCAGCCCATTATTCTAAGACCTAGCAACTCTTCATTATGGCAATGAAGTCAGTATTGACTGTTTCTTCACAACAAAAGTAGCTCACTGCCTTTGCTTTCATGCTGTTGGGGCTATCTCCTAAATCAGGTCCTTTACTGTTTGCCAGTGTTGACAAGTACTTCTTTGACTCAGGAAAGTCCGAAAATACGCATTTTGTTACAGGAGTAATCTATGGCACTGGGTTTACTGTTCTGTTTATTTGATATAAGCTTTTTCTTTCCTGAAACAGCTGGAAAAGTATGATTTAAACAAATTCACTGCATACGTGCAGCATGGTATAACGTGCTACAGAACTCCTGGGGGAGAAGACTACATTTCCTCTGTTTTCTTCCTTAGAGCATACTGAATGCTGCCTCCCTTCTTGCCTCTCCAGCATGGAGAGTGTACAGGATCAACTCAGCAGAGCTCTTGAAGATTGGAGCACTTTTGACACCCCATCATCATCTACTTCTGTGTGCCTTGATCATCAGTATCTTTAACAGTCCAGTTGGCTCTTGATTCCTATGAGACGAACCATTCTTGCAGGAAGCTTTTATTGACAATAAACAAGATATCCATCTCTAAGGAAGAGTTAAGTGTTGCCCAGGCTAAAGATAAAGAGGGCTGAAGGAAAGACCAAACTTAACAATTTGCTGATGTTATTCTCCCTAAGGGACGTCTTAGTGATTTGTTGCTAGTCCTTCTATCCCAGCCCCGTTCTTTCTTCTTTTCTGTAGGATGATTTCTTATACTCTTTAAAAATCTCCAGAACTCTTGAGAAAATTCCTGAGACTTTGAATGTGTTAGCAGTGCTAATTGAGAAGCAGCAGCTTAATTTTCTCCACGCAGTTGCATTAGACAGAATTTTATGTCCATCAGAAGAGGCTTACATGGCTCAACCAGCATGCTCTGGAACTCTTTGGCTTGCATCACCTGGAATGAAGACTCTCTAAGCAGGAAACCTCAACAAGTGAACATGACCTCTTGCAACGGTACCGCCCCTTGTCTCTGGTAGTCTGAATAGTCCATCAGAAATGAGATGTTTGGTTACTATCAGCAAGAGTGCCTTTCTGCTGTTGGCAACAGCTTCAAGCTTAGTTCAGCAGCTCTGACGTTATGACTCCTGTCCTCTCCTATGTCTGTAGAATAAAACAGTTTCTGTCCCTTCCGTATTACGGAAGGGGGAGAGAACGGTTTCAGTGCTGTAGATCTTACCATCAGTATGAAAAGCAGGAAACTTTTGGTTCATCGATCTCTTTGTATCACAAATTATGGGTGTTCTCCACCTAACGTCAGTGAAGCCCTAGCTATGTGGAACAGGTAGAGGAAGATTTCCCACCATTCATACATGTATTTCAGCAATTTTTATCATTCTACATTAAATAATTTGTGGAAGCCCACATTCTTTATAATAGCATTCCTGGTCTTCCTTCAATGATGTCCTCAGAACCAGCTGACCATTTTTTCCCCTTTTCACCCTCCTTGTGAAGATCATGAGGAATATTACTCTTCCTCCAAGACTGCTCTTCCTTTGAGGCCCTGGCTGCAGACAGTTTTGTCTTACAAATGTCACTTGTTGTTTTTTTCCCCCACTGGCTGAAGCCCTAGGTCCAGTGTAGTCCCAAAGACACTTTGTTGTGACAGGAGGGAGGGCACCCAATCCTGAAAAGTAGAGAAGTAGTGGAATCTGACATATCTCCCTGACACCCTTTGCAAAACAGAGAGTAGCTAGGGTGTGCTGGGACACTTCAGTAACAGACTCTCTTAAAATAATGAATGGCTCTCTGTGGCACTTATTTGTCCACTGACTGCCTGACTACAACGAGCACCTTAAAAAAAATAGATTTTTTTGTTAAACAGGAACACGGGCAGACTGAAATTCTGCTGGCAAGAATTTGGAAACGCTTCAAAGAACACATCGCCTGTATAAGAGCTTCTGTTAGCGAAGGCATTTGCCTTCAGATTGTTCGTCCAAAACTGTTCTCTTCTATTGGTGCCAAGATTACAATAATGAAAAAAACCTTACTTCTGACTTCTTGACAGATGGGATTCCCCAGGCCAGACCTAGCCTGCCCATGGTAACTCGTATATGGTGGGATGGCAGGGTTAGGTTAAAGGTTGGACTCAATGCTCTTAAAGGTCTTTTCCAACCAAAGTGATTCTGTGATTCTGTGATTTCTACTTAACATCCAAGGCTATCGATACATGATGCCTGAAGCACTACTGCACTGGCACTAGGTGGTTGAAGTTCTTTTTGAGGGCTCTGTCCTAATCTCCGTGTGCTTCAGTGATTGCCACTGCGTGAGGCTGTTCCTTCTCTGTCGGCTGCAACCTCCTACAACAGCTGTAGGTCTTTGACAAAGTACAGTGAGACTGGGGAGGGCTTACACTACAGAATTTGTAACTTCTGTGCAGCTGGCCACCATGATGTTCACTCTTGGAAGACATTAGAATGATGTAGAAGCCCACATTCTGAATTTAATGTGTCTGTTTGACTTAATGTCAATAAGCAGGATAGCAAAACTCATCATGCTATTCTCCCTAAATACCTTCGAAAGAGAAAGGAGAGATTATTTCTCTTTGAAATGTTTGGAAAGCAGGCTTACACTGCCCTTCTAGGGTGGTGTGACTATTACACCCATTTATAGAATATTGGATGGGTATATGGTTGTGTCAGGGAAAAAGAGCTACTGAAGATTTAAGGGAGAGCGTGGATCAGAGAGTGCTTTTTCCTGGGGCAGCATGAGGGCTGACTGGACACATGAGGGTTGACTGTGTCAGGGAAAAAGAGCTACTGAAGATTTAAGGAAGAGTGTGGATCAGAGAGTGCTTTTTCCTGGGGCATAGGACGGCTGACTGGACTTGCTCTGGGCAAGCAGCTACACCATGAGACGATACATAGTGAAAGTGAGAATCAGTTACGAAAAGGCAGCGCATCCGTCTCTGTCTTCCCAACTGTTCTTTGCACTCTTGTTCTGTAGGAGGAACAGCAGGGCTCTGGTGACATCATCTTCGCAATCCCAATGGTTTCTTTTTCCTTTTCTTTCTTTTGGGTGTGGCTGGACTGGACCTGTGTGTATAGCCGTACTTACCGGTAGCTTTTTTCTTCCTCTTTTGTGAGCCACATCCCTATTTTTGTTATTTACACAATAGTGGAAATATTTGGTGAAGCATTGGGCCATGGCTGCGGGGCTGTGGTACATCAAACGCTAGATAGTAAACCCCACACCATTAGAAACAATCCTCAGCTGTGCTATTGCCACTGAAGGGAGGTGTCTACATATCCCATACTCGTTCTGTTTCCTACTATGGCTTGTACTTCCGCACACTGTCAGAGCTACTTACTGTTTCTAACAGAAAGAAATGTTTAAATTTTATTTTTAACTGTAGTTTATGAAATGCAGTAGTGGCTAGAGATGAAAAAAAATCTTGGTGTACCTGTAGAATTTATCAAGAGATTGTGTTTTCAGTCCTGACTTCCTTACTTTGATGTCATGTTTGCATGCATTATGAGGTGAGGAATGTTATTAACTGTAATTGCTTACTAAAGTAAACATTTTTTATTAACTCAGCATTTGCCCGTAAAACTAGAATCTGAATCTCCTTAATACATTGCACATTTAAAGAATCAAATATCTAAGATGTTTAATAGTTTAACAAAGTAGCCTTTGGGGAATTGGGAAGTAATTGGTCAGTCACCTTGAGTTGAATTTTCTGGTATGAAAATAAACAAGTCATTGGTTACAATTTATGTCTAAGTTAACAATGAACTTTCTCAAAGGTTATTGTTCCTTTTTTAGTTAAATAGTACAAGTCCCATATTCTCTTCAAATTGTTTTATGATTAAGTCAGTTGGTTCTGGACTGGAAAAAGACAACAGAGAACCCTATAATTATGATGCCATCACTAACCTTTCCAGTCAGGAGTTCTAAAAATGTTGGGTTTAAACCCTGGTGTTATAGAGCTTATGGAAAATAAAGCAAAATCAAGTATCTGATATCTACTTCAAATATCTGAATTCCGATCTACTTCCCACCAATTTTTGATGGAGCAAGTAAATAAGAGTATCCCATTTGTTAGTAGCCACAAATACATAATGGTGGACTATATTGTTCTTACCTTGCCTTTATGCTTATATTTAAAGCAAAAGAGAGAGCTTGCTTGTGTGTGATTGATGTTTCCATGTGACAGGTGCTGTGTTTGGTACAGGGTATGTAACTGTTGAATTCACACAGCTAAGTATCAAACCTGTGTGTAATTTGTTGGGGATTCCTTCAACAGAGGACACCATGAATGTAGTCATACTGCAAACTGGTTGTCAATCAAAGCCAGGCGCTCATCTGTTTTCAGCAGACAGCATAGGAATTGCAAATGAATGGAGCAGCAGTCTTAACTCCACAAACAGCAGTACAAATAGCAGTGGGCAGTCTGGAAATGTAAGTGTAAATAATTCTGGAAAAGTTACTACTAATAATCACTGTGCCAATATACAATGTTTATTTTACTTCTTAAACATCTGTGTTTTATATCTTTGTACTTCAGCAAAGGAGAGAAAACCCCACAGCTCTAGCAAGTGTCAGGCAGCAATATTTAACTGGTACTTAAGCTTAAATGGAATATCTGCCCTCGGCACCAGATTTAACTGTATTATTTGTGTTTTCTGTTCTTGTTTTTTGTCTTTAGATGCAATATTTTGAATGCTACAGTGAGGAACATCATTGTTAATTAAATATACAACTACAGGGCGGCTTAATTTACATATGTCTCTTTTTCCTATAGGAAAGGTTTCATTCATGGAAGACCTTGCCTGATCCCAGCCCTCTTCTCTGCCCCAGTTTGTTAACATTAGGAATGAATTGATGTCCGTTCTGAACGTGCTTTATACTTGAAGCTTCTTACAGTGGTGCGGTACAGGCAGTATGTTTGGTAGTAGAGAGGTGTTTGATTACAAGGGTGATAAATGTAGTTTGTATTAGCAAATTTTATCAGCTAAGTATGGGGGAGAGGAAGGAGAAAAGTATATTGCAGAGCTTTTTTTATCTGCCTTTTACTATCAGTTGGAATAGATCCTTTTGTTAGGTTTTATGTTTGTGGCAAAATAGTATATAAAGATAGTGACATCTTTCTTGTTCTCTCCTGACTCAGGTTTTTCTTACTTCATTTGTAGTACAGAGTCATAAATACCTACTCATTTGTCCCCAGAATTTTCACTTCTAGATTCCAGCACTGTTGAGCTATACTGTTTGGTTAGAAACCAGATAAAAGGACATATTTTAAATAAAGTTTGAAAGGAATTGCCAATAAATAGTGCAGTTGTTAAAACTCCTGTGTTTCTTTCATGTAGCTTCTTCATATTGCTGCCCTGTAGATTGAGACTAAAGATACCAGTATGCCTATGTTTTATCTTTGGTTCCCAGTGCTGAATTCTGCGTCTGTATATAAAAGGTTGTGAGGGACGGTCTGCCTTTTTACTTAGGAAGGTAATTTTGCTGTTGCTAATGTTCTGATGCTTTCAGGAGAGACCCAAAGAAGCGTCTCTTCTCCCAGAAGCATCTTGGCCTTTCATGAATGATTTAGGTACACCTGAAAACGCTAAGCATTGCCTTTCAGCCATGGGGAATCCTCTTCTGTGTACATGGATTTTTCCGTTAGTCATTAAGCGTCTGATGAACACTGTGTGCACTCTTCCACTCTGTGCTCAGTCACTCTCTGCCTGTACTACTGTTCCAAGGTGAAAATGGAAAAGTTGACCCTACTCCCTTCCCTGTACTTTCTACTTGAACGTTTTTTGCAAGTGGCCACCTTTTTTCTGATGTCTGGCAAAATGTTCTCTCTTTCACTTGGGCCTTACCCACAGCAACGTTTGACGCACTTCCATTATTTGTTTTTCTAAATATTCAGTTCCTGATTTTTTATTAGCATGTTGGTCTTCTGTTTTTCCATGTCTAATTCTTGAGTTTTGTTGCTTGATTGCTTTCACCTTCTCCATCTGCTGTAAACTGCTTCATTTTAGTATTTAAGTAGTCAGTTGGTTTTCCTCCCTTCCCCCATTTTCCATATCCCAGCAACTTAATTGTATTTGTGGTTTGTGTTTTTCTCTCTGTTCCAATAAGTTGTCTGTCTTTCTGTCCCCTCCTTTGTCTTTGTTCTTGTCACTGTCAGACACTGGCCCTGAGTAAACTTAATTTTAGTGGTTTTTATCATGATGAAATTAGACTTTCTATGCCTCCCTTCCTTTGTGTCTTCAGAACAATATCTCCCTATTCATCTTCCAAAACTGCTTTCACATATCCTGCTGTAGTATGCAGGGAGAGCATCCTACTGTTCTATTTGGTTCTAGAGGAAAGGGATGATGCAGTACTTGAGCAACCTAAACTCAGTTCTCTGCTCAATCATAAAATTCCTCTTTGACTGTGAGCAAGTTGCTTAGGTCCCCATTTCTAGAATGTGGTAATACTATTGCCCTATCTATAAATGTTATTGGAAGAATGAGTCCATGAAAATTCTGTATGATCCAGGTTGATAGTGAGGGAGGCTGTGTAACTGTTTTAAATATATACCTTCTCATCTCACCTGTACTGTATTCCTATGTCTCCATCTAAGTTGCCTTGTCAGTCAGACTGTTGTCAGCTGCTCCTCTGCTGTATCTTTCCTTAACATTTCGGTCAGGAAATAATCTACTCTTCAGCCTTTTTTTGATAAGTGTGTGTTCAGTTTCCACAGAGAGCTTCTACATCTATGTTTCTTTACCTCCATGTTCTGCCTTCTGGTTTGAAGCCTCTAACATTACACTTTTGTCAGTCCCTTCACCTGATCTTTGATAGCACTGTTGTTCTCCAGTCTGTCTTTGTGGTTCCCTTTGCTTTATACTCCACCACTTGTATCATCTAAATGCACTTAACCTCCACAGTGCAGTTTACCCAATGCATTTTCCTGGATTGTAATTTTTCATTTCAATTAGTACCACTTGTTTCTCCACACTTGCCATCACCCCTTATCTTTCTTTTTGTTGTGTTGCTCTAGCAAGACCTAGATTAGCTTTCTTGGCACACCTGTCTTTTCTCATATTGCATCAGAGCTGTGAAGTGCCTTAGGTAAGATTCAGAGTCTTGATATGCATCGCAGCAACGAATTCGCTCATCCTTTTCCCAGTGCTGTGTGTCTTTCTTTAGGAGCTGCATTTACACCAGCAACTTTTACTTTCAGCTCTTACTGCTTGTTCATCTTTCACTCTTTATTTAAGAGGCTCTTCCTTATCGTTTCTTCTGTTGTGCTGGTGAAATTCATGTATCTGAACTCCTTGGTTATGGGAAATGATAGCAGGCTAGGTTTCTTGAATATTTCTGTGCATACAAGTCTTGAAATAGCTTGATCCATGTTTCAGATACATTGCTTGCACCGTGTATACTTTGATGCCCTACTTGGTTAATCAAGTTGGTTATGTTACCACTTCTTCACATTTACTCAGATTTCTATTACTCCTTGCATGTCCTTCCATGAATCCTCAGCTATGAAATGTTTCATCATCCAATATGCTGTGCACCCTTTTTCCTCAGTCACTTTTGCTATCTACCCTTTTCATTAGTCACCTTTGCCAAAATAATCTCTTTGGCATTCAGTCCTCTGCATCCCATACATATGCATCGTTCTCAGCCATAGGCTTCTGCCTCACCTGAATTTCATCCCTTCATTTCGACTGTTCTCATTTATATCCTGCAACTATATTGCAATTTAAGATACACAAATGGTCTTCTCCTATATCTGCTTTTCTCATAGTGCTGTGAGTGTTGGATTAACTAGGCTGTCTCAGTGCATGCAACCATACTCATGGTCACTGCTTTATATGCTTTCTCTAGCTGGTTGATTAGCTTTCCGGTGTTGTTATATCAATACAAAATGCATATTCTTTTGAGCAGCTTTTCAGCCAAATAATGTCAAGAATCTTATCACCTCTCCTTAAAACATGCGGAGCTCGTGCTTTAGGATTATACTGATGATCTTCTCCATGCATCGGGTCTCTTTGTTTCTAGTACCTAACTGCAGTGTACCTAAGTTAGGTGATGATACAGAGCAAAGGCCTAGCTGTACAGTAAATAAAAGTTGTCTGTAAATAGGGAAAAAGGGGAAAAAGGAAGACCCGGGGAACTACAGGCCAGTCAGTCTAATCTCTGTGCCCAGCAAGATCATGGAGCAGACCCTTCTGGAAACTATGCTAAGGCACATGGAAAATAAGGAGGTGATTGGTGACAGCCAATATGGCTTCACCAGGGCAAATTGTGCCTGACAAATTTGGTGGCTGCCTATGATGGCGTTACAGTGTTGGTGGACAAGGGAAGAGAATTGACATCATCTGCCTGGACTTGTGCAAAGCATTTGACACTGTCCCGCACAGCATCCTTGTCTGTAAATTGGAGACACACCGATTTGATGGATGGACCTCTTGGTTTATAAGGAATTGGCTTGATGGTTGCACTCAAAGAGTTGCAGTCAATGGCTCGATGTCCCAATGGAGAGCAGTGACGACTGGTGTTCCTCAGGGGTTGGTATTGGCACCGGCACTGTTTAACATCTTTGTCAGTGACATGGACAGTGGGATTGAGTGCAACCTCAGCAAGTTTGCCAACACCACCAAGCTGTGTGGTGCGGTCGACGTGCTGGAGGGAAGGGGTGCCATCCAGAGGGACCTTGATGGGCTTGAGAGGTGGTCCCGTGCGGACCTCATGAAGTTCAGCAAGGCCAAGTGCAAGATCCTGCACATGGGTGGGGGCAATTCCAAGCACAAATACAGTCAAGTACATGGGTTGAGAGTAGCCCTGAGGAGAACAGCTTGGGGGTATTGGTTGATGAGAAGCTCAACATGATGCGGCAATGTGCACTTGAAGCCCAGAAAGCCAACCATGTTCCTGGGCTGCATTGAAAGAAGTGTGACCAGCAGGTCAAGGGAGGTGATTCTTCCCCTCTGCTCCACCTGGAGTACTGCCTTCAGCTCTGGGGGCCCCAACATAAGAAGGACATGGACGTGTTGGAGCGAGTCCAGAGGAAGGCCACAAAGATGATTTGAGGGCTGGAGCACCTCTCCTATGAAGACAGGCTGAGAGAGTTGAGGTTGTTCAGCGTGGAGATGACAAGGGTCTGGGGAGAGCAGTCTTCCAGTACCTGAAGGGGGCCTACAAGAAAACTGGAGAGGGGCTTTTTACAAGGGCATACAGCGATAGGACAAGGGGTAATGGCTTTAAACTGGAAGAGGGCAGATTTAGATTAGATATAAGGAAGAATTTCTTCACTCTGAGGGTGGTGAGGCGCTGAAACAGGTTGCTCAGAGAAGTTGTGGATGTTCCATCCCTGGAAGTGTTCACGGCCAGGTTGGACAGAGCAACATGGTCTAGGGGAAGGTGTCCCTGCCCATGGCAGGGAGAGTTGGAACTAGGTGATCTTT